ATAAATCACTGCTTAGGAAGAAAAGCTGAAGAAACTGGGTTTGTTTGCTCAGGAAATTTATATATAAGTTTATATATATTTCAAGATATATATGGATACGTAAAAGAGATATATACTCCAAAGGTGCTGTACAGTGGGTGCTCACCAGATTCAACAGGCATGGGAAACAAAGAAACCAAACTAATTTTCAGAGAAAAAAAAGAGTTGTTACCTAACAGTGAAAATGGAAAAACGTATAAGGACAGTGATGCACAGGGACAGGATAAGAGATGTTATAAAAACCTTCAGTGGAAGTTTTAAGATCAGGTTAGACAAACGTTTTGAGGATGTCCTAGTGCAGCACAATCAGAGCGATCTCCAAGGGTCCAGCTCCAGGCTGCAAATATGATCCTTACCAACAGGCATTTTCTCCCACAGTCTAGCACGGAATTTATATTTGTTCCTCCTACTGTGCTCACGTTAGGATATGGTCAGCCTGGTACTATCCCAAAACCTTACAGTTAGAATAAAGGAGTTACCAAACTGACTTCCAAGACAGAGCCAGTTTGCTCTAGTTACATGTGATCCTGCCTCTCTACTGCCTAGGTCTCCTGAGGTCCCTTCCAGGCCCTATGGTTTTTATGCTTCTGTTATTTTGATTTCCTGTTAAATGAGAGAAGACAAAGCTGATTAGCAACATTTTCTCAAGCTTCTAGACAGCTGTGAGTAAGCCTTCATTCTCCAATTTCCTCTGTGAACTTATTCAGACTATGACACTTTATTCTAGTTTTTTACTTTAAGAATGTTTTTTTCCCCACCCACCATGAATGCCAGGCCTCTCAATCACACTAACAACAACAAAAAACATATGGGAGGGTTTAAGAGGCGAGAGCAGACATGAGAAGCTCTTCCTTTAACTTATTTGGAATCAACTCCAACATGCACGCCTGGGAGAAGAAAAACAAGGAGTATATGGTAAGTCATGTTCTTTTTGTTATTTTTGCATAAAAATAGCAATGCCAAAGGATTATATTCTGTATAAAGTCATACCTTAGAGAACTCAGATTTTACTCAAGTATATTTTGCTAATGAGAGCAGTAGTCCAGTGTTATATCCAATAAAATGTTACGTGCAGCTGCCTTTTCTTTTTTTTGCAAAGCAGAGTTAGACTTGAAAGTTTTAAAGCAAGTTTAACACATTTAGTGGCTCTGTTCATGAAAATATATAGCCCTATTTTGTAAGAAATGTTAATGGCATGATCTAGCAACCATTTTCTGTATTCCTCGTTAATGATTTCTATGAAATTGCAAATTGAGGACTCACTTTACGAAACTCCAAGGAGCAGTAGCCTGTAAAAACATGTCTCTTATGTGGCTTGCACATTCCAAACCGTAGGAAATAATTTTGTTCAAACATATATCATAATGGTGTGTTAATCCTGCTTTATGTTTGGGAGTTATGTATGAGAATGCCTTTCTATGTAAAGGTCAAATTATCTGGTGTCTAAAACATGCACATTAACTAAGATTCCCCTGATATTTGGTGCTTCTCAAGGGAGAGCAACACAGGGCTCAGCATCAGATGTCTTTTTTGCTAAGGGCTCCAGAAAAATTAAATTTCTTAATATACACAGATCAGTTTTGTAGAGCTCTGGGGGCTCCACAGCTTGAGTCTTCCCCAAAGTTGTTCCAGGTGTTTAACATTTACCCTACTAGAGGTAGAGCACCAGCTCCAACCCCACTTTTAGGGAGAGTGCAAAAGTAAACAGCAGGGATGAAAGCCGTTAACATTTCTGGTTCAACGCATCAAGCAGTTTAACCTGCCAGTTTCCATGCCAGATCAAGAGGCTCAGGGGCATATTCAGTAGCTACAAGCACAGCCTGCCCAGGGCTGGTGTTGGTTCACACTCAAGTCACCGCAACGCAGCCGAACAGGAGCAGCCAGCGCCTGGCCATTTGCAAAGAAACAGCATCTTCATCCCTACATGGACTCCCCCCACCTGCAGCCCACACGTCCCCACAGCCAACATGGGCTTGAGGGCACATATTTACTCAGACTACCATGATCTTTGGTGCAGGATAACCAGGAGTACAGGGGTACTAAGCAGAATTAATTACCAAAACCAGAGCCCTCAGAGGCAAGAATACTTCAAATACCCCCCCCGGAAGCAGTGAAAAGCAAGAGGAAACACACACTAACAAGCTGTCAGTTTGTTGCACACACTTGAGGAAAGAAAACCACAACGCTGGTGAAGCCAGCATAAATATCAGTATCAGAGACCAGCTGCAGGATCCCAGGTGAGCAGCCCCATGTCCCTGGGTTTAATTATTTTGTCACTGTGATCAATGCTCTAATCAGACCGAAAAGCAAAAGGTAAATAGTTTCTAGCAAAATGAAAGCCCCCGTGGTTCAGCCACCTCGGGAACACAGAGCTGAGCGTGACTTACCAGGGCGACGCGTCTCACTCAGTAGAGGGAGGTGAACCCTAATCCCAGCGCCGGGGACCCCTGCTAGTTGCATCCTGCTTTGACAACTAGCTGCATCATGTCATCCCCTGGAGGGCCCTCTCCCGAAAACCAGGAATGCAAAATTTAAGGAAACATCAACCCAAGCAACAGTAGGAGACTTAGCCAAAAGTTAGCCCCCGGGGGAGAGCAGTGACTGAGCACCCACGCCGGGAGGAGGGAGGCCGCGGCAGCGAGGGGGATGCGCAGGCAGGGCCGGACCCAGCTCCCACGCTATGCATGAACATAACAGTGGAGGGCGGCAGGCAGCAAGGAGCAGCTTCTGGCACCCAGCGGTTTCTAGCAACGCTACCGGCCTAACAGGCCATGGTGGGCAAGGGAGCCGGTGCTTCTGGCAACGCGTGCCCCACTGCAGAGCGCCCGCAGAGCGCCGCTCTTAACCTGGCATCGAGGTGTCTGAATCGGAACGGCTTACACCCGCTCAGGAACCAAACACAGCCACTATCACAGAAATAGCAGCATTGCAATTTCACTGTACTCGCGTTTCACTCCTGATAGCGTCTGTTACCTGGCTGTTTTCCCCAAGCAGCCAAAGCTATAACTCACAGGCATCTCCCACCCAGCTGCTGCCAGCCGCTGGCAATAATACATACATAAGGGACATGCTACTAATGCAATCGCTGCTGTGCTGAAACGAGGCACACAGATCCCTTTGGGATACATGCACCTCTTTCCTCTGTGCACACTGGAAGAAGGTATTGCTGCCTCCCCTCATCCAGAGCTGTTGCCCCCTTGGAACCACTTATGACCAAATGCTACAAAATATAACATATGATTTCTTATACACACAGCCAGGTACTCAGATAATTTTCAGTTCTGAGAAGGCAAAGTTTAAGTTGCAAGGGCATTGTGTTAGTTCTGCATCTGAAATTCCAAGATTTGAGTTTGGCCGAGTTCATTGTTCTGGAAAGTCATGGCATAGTAAAGAGTTAAGAGTGGCAACAGTCTGACCTGTCAGTCACTCTAACAGCAAAAATACATGCAGGAAAATTTGAAGGATGACAGATGAGACATTTTAACTTTGAAAACGTGCCCAAAATCCATTTTGCTTTGGGAAATGAAACAGGAAGAGTTAATTGGAAAGCAGAACATTGATTCGTTGGTCTCCAGCCTTTTATGGAAGCTTTCCTATTTCTCCTGTCGTGATGACTCAGAACTGCTGAGCAAAATAATCTGGTTTTGTTTCAGCAGCTGCGTCTTGACTATTTTGTTGCCCAATGCATAAAGCAATGGCTCTCAAACTTTCCCTCATTGCTCCACTTCAGAATATGTACTGTGACCCCTTCTCCATTTTCAGAAATGCATATGCAGCTCATCTCAAACTGGGAACATGCTCTGTGCTAGAGGTGAATAGGGACCATGAGGAGCAGGGCAGGGGATTCAGCTCAGAGGAGACATCTGGATGGAGACAAGGGTGCAAGGGAACAGAAGTGCCACTCAGCCTTTTCAGCGCTACTTCATCTTGCCTCCATCCAAGCCAAACTGCTGCATTCATTCCTTCTCCTGCTGCTGGGAGTGTTTCCCAGCTGTGTGTCGGCCCAGGGCATTGCACACCTCCCTCCATAGAGGATAACATGCCTGCCCGCATACACAGACCCACATCCAGCCCAGGACATCCCCCAGGTCAAAATGGCTGGAGACTGGAAGAGTGTAGGGATATACTTCATGCTTGCCCCTTTCAATACTCTTTCCTAGGCATCCCATTTCTGGCCGCAGTCAGAAGACAAGATACTGGGCTACATGAACTTCTGGCCTGACCCAGGACATGCATTTTAGGTCAGCCTTAGCTTTTTAAAAAGGTAACAGAGTATCAGAAAGAATTTGTTCTTTAACAGTACTAAGAACCTGAGAGAAAAAAAATTCTTTAGAACATACATTGCCCTTGAGTAAATGACTGAGTTTTAAGCCCAAGAGTATGATGCCCAGACTTGACCGGAAGTCTGACATTAACTAACGTGACTGTAGGAAAGCACGAGCTCTGTAACTAAGCTCTATTTCTTCTGTGTAAACACCATAGCTCAGCATGTCAAAACCAAGGGCCATGTCAAATGTGGTCTGAAAAAGGATCCAAGCAACTGCAAGGGAGTTCGAGGTAAGCAAGCCAAGTTAGCTGCCATTAGCAGGTTTTATAATAGATATGAAAAATAGTCACACCTTAGTTGCACCTGTAAATAAATCAGACGTTGATGACTCAAATATTTTATACATTGGTTTTCAGCAGAACTCTTAGTAAACTTCATTAATGAGTGATATTTGCATATCTTAATATAAAAGAACACTTACAGATTCCTTAGACTCAAAAAGGATCGCTCACACAAGAATATCAGTACTTCTTAAGCTACTTTTAAAAAGGCGTGCACTTTAACTGCACAAACAGGAAAAAAGTTGCAAAAGGACTTCCTCTTAGGATTTCTACAGCAGCTGAAAAAAAACCAGTG